TTCCTCCTGCCTGCTACACTTTGTCTAAAAAAGAGAAAACAAGTTTTTGTGAGTGTTTACAAAGTATCAAAGTGCCGCATGGTTACTCATCAAATGTCAAGAGGCTTGTATCAGTTAAAGATTTTAAATTAGTTGGCTTAAAATCTCACGACTGTCATGTCTTAATGCAACAACTACTACCATTGGCTATTCGTGGGATATTGCCTAACAACGTAAGGAAGACTATAACTAGGTTGTGCTTATTTTTCAATGCAATTTGTTGTAAAGACATTTATCCACTAAAGTTAGACGATTTGGAAAACGAGGCTGCAATTATCTTGTGCCAATTAGAGATGTATTTTCCTCCTTCATTTTTTGACATTATGGTTCACTTGATTGTTCATCTAGTAAGGGAGATTAGATTATGTGGTCCAGTTTTTTTACGGTGGATGTATCAAATAGAGCGATACATGAAGATTCTAAAAGGGTATACAAAAAACCCACAGCACCCGGAAGCATCGATTATTGAGAGGTACATTGCAGAAGAAGCAATTGAGTTTTGTTCTAACTATTTGTCAGGAGTGGATGTTGTAGGGGTTCCCAAGTCTCGTCATGATGGAAGATATGAGGGTGTGGGTACACACGGTTTAAAAGTCAAGAGCTTAAGTATTGATGTGGTTGTTCAAGCGCATTTGTATATATTGAATAACATAGATGAAGTTCAACCTTACTTATCTGCTCACAAAAGCATCATAAAGAAAAAGTACCCAAGGTGAATGAAAGAGGGTTATTAAAAGAGCATAATAAGAGTTTCTCTGAGTGGTTTAAAGAAAGAATTGCTAATGAAGATATTGTTTCTAATACAATTAAGTGGTTGTCTTACGGGCCTAAATGTAACATAATAACTTGAAGTGGATATGATATTAATAAAACCTCTTTTTATACAAAGTCAAAGGATGACCGTAGTACCATGAAAAATAGTGGGGTAATGATTGTGGCCGAGTCCATGCACTTCTTTAGTGCTAAAGATAAAAACCCGGTTATGGCATCTACACCGTACTTTGGGGTGATTGAAGAGATTTGGGAAGTTAATTATGTTGTGTTTAAAGTTCCTATATTTAAATGCAAATAGATTGATATCAACAGTGGTGTAAGAATCGATGAATTTGGAGTTACACTGGTTGATCTTAGCAAGTTAGCTTATGCGAACGAACCATTCATCATGGCATCTCAAGCAAAACAAGTGTTTTATGTCACAGATCCTTCTAATAAAAAGAGGTCAGTGGTTTTACAAGGAAAGGTCCATGATAGTGATGAAAATCATGATGAGAATCTTGATATTTCTGAAACTCATCCTTTCTCAACAAATGCGACTACATTCATTGAAGAAAATGAAGGGGATGATGTGCATGCTATTCGCATAGACCATGAAGAAGGAATATGGGAGGACTAGTAAGATTTTTTGTATAAGTTAATTCCACGTTACTTTATTTTCTAATTGTTTTTATTTTGTGCTTAATTTTATTTCTAATTGTTTTTATTTTGTGCTTAATATTATTTCTAATTATTTTTGTTTTGTGTAAATAGATACATGGGTGATTCAAACCCCAATAAAAGAAGTGTTAGAGGTCCCACTTTAATGATACAAATTGACAAAGTTCATCAAACAGGTGAAAAGATAAAGGTCGAGTTTAATGCAAGAGCCTATGAATGTATTGGTGTTGGTAAAAATGCTACACATTTCAAGAGTTATATAGCATCTCTTGCTCGGCAGTATTGTAGTATTGTGAAAAATGATTGGAAAGAAGTAGATGAAGGCGTAAAAGATGCTATTTGGACTGATATTTAGGTATTTTAAATACAATACTTTATTATATTTTATAATCATATACTAATTAACAACATATGACATATACTATATTTGTAGGCTCATTTTACTATTCCAGAATGTAAAGATCCAAAGAAGGATATGTTGAAGAAAGAATGGATTAAATATACGGGAGAGCGATGGAGAGGTTTTAAGACACAACTCACAGATAGATATATTCATCATCCCATAGAAAATGATCCTCCTTCATATGTCAAGTATAACTTTATTACGGAAGACACATGGAAAGAGTTTCTCAAGATTCGAGATACCCCTGAATTTAAGGTTAGTAGGAGTTATATGTTTTTGTGTGCATAACATTTTTATTATATTTAGTGATTAATTACTTGTTTGAGTTTATAATAGGAAAAAAGTCAGAAGGGTAAGGATAATGTGGCCAAGAATGTATACCCACACGTATTGTCTCGTGGAGGGTATCGCTTGCTTGAGGAGAAAATTATGAAAGAAAAGTCATCATCGAGAGATAATTCCACATTAGATGATAATGATAGTCCATCTCCACCGTCACGCCATGAGTTATGGAAGAGAGCACGACAAAAGAAAGGAGGAGAATGCACATCAAAATCTACACAAGAGGTTGCTGAAAAAATTGTAAGTAAACAATGAAAAATTATTCAAGTATCATTATATTTGTGATTGATTAATTGATGTTTTTGCATTTTGTAGGATTCTCTAGTTCAAGAAGCTGAAAAAGGTGCAATTGTTCCGGATGGACGTAATGATATCTTATCATTAGCCATTGGAACATCTGAGCATGGAGGTCGTGTTCGTGGTGTTGGAAAACACCATAAACAAATCACTTACTTTGGAAGATCACGTCAACATATTGACGTAAATGAACAACTTACAATATTGGAAACAAAACTTAGAGCTGAACTTGAAGAAAAGTTGGTTGAAGAGCGTAAGATGTTTCAACAATCATTAATGGAGACACTTAAGTCTATGGGTTTATCACAAAGCACATGTGATAATAAATGCATTGAAAAATTGGAAATTATCGATGGAAGCGGAAAAGGAAGTTGTTCAGCTGCAAAAGGAAGCACAAAAGAGAGCACAAAAGACGTGGAAGTTGATGATGTTCAGAGATTGTTACTCATGGTTTTGAAAATGGATGATAACCGTTTGGCAATACAATTGAGTCATTGTGCGAGTGTCTCTAATTTTTATGTTTCAGCTAAATGTATCAGAGAGTTATTGGTGGATTTAGGTCATTGGCTTGACGTGTCTATTCTGCAAATTTGGTGCACGTAAGTACATTTTATTGTTTTATTAAAGTCAATCTCTATTAATATGTTATATCTCTCATCACTTTGATTCTATTGTTTATTTTAAAATTATTCATGTATATTCATCGTGTATGTCTTGAGAATTCCATTTCAGAATTATATGGATTTATGGACCCCGCTAGGTGTATTTATAATGATAATGTAGCGAAATCTCAAGTAGATGTTAAAAATTACGTACTAGAAAAGTTACGTGATGAAAACAGAGTGTGCCACTTACTACCATTAATTTATGGGTAAGAATTTTTATGAAATTGTGTTTTATATTATTTAATTTTGATAACATATATATTTTATGTGACTTTTCTGTTTCCACACACACGTACAGGAGACATTGGCAATTAATAGTCATGTGTCCAAGAGACAATTTAGTTATCGTATTTTGTTCACTTCATCGGGAGATTGACCATCACACGAAGAAAATTATTACAAAGTAAGTTTATCTTTCATGTGACTTTCATTGACAACTAATAGTTATATGATTTTTCATTGACGAGTAAATTTAGTTATGTGATGTTAATCTTTCTGTATTAGTTCTTTTGAGATTCATCAAATGGCAAATGGAAATAGAAAAAAGGCTACATGGCTTCATCCCAATGTAAGTGTGATGTAAATTGTAATTCTATAGTTAAATTTATGATAAATATTCACTAATTATGTCATTCAATTGTAGACAAGGCAACAACATAACTCTAATGATTGTGGATACTATGTGATGAAAAATATGTTGGATATTGTCTCTGCTAATATAACCGAGAATTGGATGCAGGTACTAAAAATAACTTTGTTATTTACTTTTTGTTTTTCGACTTAATATGAATTTTTAAAAAATAACTCTATTATTATATTTATGTATTATAGGTATTTGATGACTCAACAGAATTAACACCAGATGATTTGTATGATTTGCGACTCCGTTGGGCAAAATGTTTCTTTGAGTTATATGAAAATTAAGTTTATCTTGGTGAGTTTTATAGAATTATCTAAGTTGTGGTTTTTGCACATAATTGTTATTATTGAGTTTTTGCACAATACATGTGATTTTTGCACATGTATTGAGTTTCTTGATTTTTTTACTGATGTTAATTGTTATTATTTATTGTCAGGCAATGTGATTTTGGTGTTGTCTACCGAAGATTTTATATTGGTAATTCAAGTTTGGAAACTTAGAAATAGTTGAATATTTTTGTATATTTTGTGAATAATATGTAATTGTAAGTTTTGAAAAAGACTTATAAATAGTTGAATATTTTTGTATATTTTGTGAAGAATTTGTAATTGTAAGTTTGTTGTGAGTTTGTTTGTTGTAATACAATACAATTGTTCAATTTGTAAGTTTGTTGTGAAAAATATGAAAACATCGACCTAGATGTGGTCTATGTGATGTTGGAAAGCTATGAAATCTATATAGCGACATAAATATAGTCTGTGTGATATTGGAAAAATATGAAAAAATGGGTACAAATTATTTTTGTACAGGGAAACATCCAAAAAATAAATAATCTATTCTCAAAAAATTTCATACAATTTACATCGGTTATTACTCAAAACTGATGTAAAAACTTTCAAAAAGGGACTTTTTACATCAGTTATTACTCCCAACCGATGTAAAAAGTTGCGTCACTAGAGACTTTTTACATCGGTTATTACTTCCAACCGATGTAAAAAATTGGATCAATTTTTTTAAAATATTGTCATAACTGTTTCTTACATCATTCTTATATTATAACCGATGTAAAAAGTACCTGATTTACTATATCGCCTGACTTTACATCGGATCCAGAATCGATGTAAAAAGTCAGTTTCAACCGATGTAAAAAGTCATTTCTGCACTAGTAATTTCTTCTCACTTAAAGAACATAAGTGTCAAGTTGATCCCTTATTGTTCCTCGGTCATCACTAGAAAAGTCTGCATGATAAATATCAGCAAGACGAGCAAGCTTATCAATATTAAACTTGGAGAAAGAGTTCCTGGAGTCAATACATGAGAAGTAATTAAGGATAATGTTAATTCCTTCACTAAAGTGATGATCAATCTCCACACATATTTTGTCAATAACAACATAAGAAATCTCTGCACGGTAATGATGAAGATCAGTGATAGTCCTCCCTTGCCACGGAATACCTTTAGCAACACAAAAATTTTGGACATCGGAAAATAAATTATCCCAACCACTCTCTCTCGTTGTGGCCAACCGAGCTTTGACATCATCAACTAATTCCATGGAAATTCAAGTGCACAACACGTTGCAAGCTCCTTTTGAAAAAATTAAGCTGCATTCTTCATCTCACTGTATTCTAACCATGTATAATTCTTATACCATGATTTACTAAATAATCTTTTAATACTCCCAAATGGAGTACGAGGAAAGCTTGGCAAATATGATTGCATTGGACCCTTCAATATATATATCCTCCTCACTTGGTCTTGAATATCCGGAGCATACTCATTAATTTATTTCCTACGACCTGGATCACACAGAATCTCATTTGGATTAAAATCATTAACCCCATTAGACAGTGGTTCTAATTCGGCTTCTGGTTGCACAATATTCATATTCTCAATATTTTTTCTAGCAACCAAAAATCTTCTCATCTCTGAACAAAAGATAAAATAATTACAAAATTGTAGTTTCAAAATTTAAAAGAATAATAATCAAATAAAACAACTAAGAATAAACAATGCTCTTCAAACAAATAAAAAAAATTTAAAACTCTAGTAAATAAATTAGTATTTGTAATTGTACATGGTTAATCAAACAACCTAAACTCTAATAAATAAATAAATTAATTAATTAATACATGGTTAATCAAACAACCTAAACTCTAATCAATAAATTAGAATCAAACACGGAATTAAACAAGTATAATATATAGACTTATTACTACAAGTTTCATTTGAAAAATAGCAACTAGCATAATCACTAATGAATTTGTAATTGTAAATATGTCAATTCAATTTTGTACTAGTTTGGTAGCACAAATTAAACTTTTTGCATCGAACATTTGTCAACTTTCCAGTGAAATAAAAGTACAAAAAGAGAAAAATTATATATGTGCTTATCTAATTCTTTACCAGCATATTATTAGTAATATCTAGGTCCTAATTTCTTGTTGTGACAAACATATCAAATAGATTAACAGACTAAGTCAAACACATATAATACATTTGTATTATATAGAAAGAGAAACACACATCTGCTATTTAATAATCAAGTTAGAGTTTTACATTAAAGTTGGCGAAGATAGATTGAAAAGAGAAAGAAAGAGAACGATGACGACTATTCAATAATCCTTTCCTTCTTTAAGTTTTTTCAATTCTAGATTCCACTATTTTTTCTTTTTCTTTTAATTTTATTTATTTAAAAAAAATATGAATACTAAAAAAATTTTGGGCCGGGCCGAGCCTGGGCATTTGCCCAAACTAGCCGTATGGTAGAGCAAAAGATTTTATCTAAGTAATTCCTTTATTTTTCTAGTACACAAGAATAAATTATGAAATTTTATTGCGTAAAATATTGTTGATCGTTATGTTTGATATGCATGTTAAATTCATGTCAAAGTTTCTAAGGTATGTTGAATAGGATTTGTCGGTATATCTTTTTGCATCAAATTTGTCTAAATTTGTGTGGGAGAAGAATCGAACTTAGAGTTTATTGTGAACACATATTTTAAATATATTTTGTGCAAGTTTCATCGTATCTTTTTGATTTTTATTTTTATTTTCATGTTTTGCAGCCGATTTCAAACACAAAATTTAATAATATTTAAGTTTGATTTTGATTTCTAATATATTTTATATTTTTAATTGATAATAAATGATTCAACTTTAAAGGAGATGATAATAACTCTTGGTGAAAAATACTTAGTTAATTCATATAATTTTTAGAATTTGTTAAAATTCAGTTTATATTTTTTTTAAATTAATTTGTGGCTACAATATTGATGAAGAGATGAACACGCTTGTTTATTCATAACCTTGATAAAAGTACATAGTTATTTTAATAAATAACATATATTATATTTTAAATTCATTTATAATATATTAAAAATAATATTTATTTATGTTAAATTTAACATGTGACATTAAATTTTATATAATGTATGTTGTCAAATATTTATGAAAAAAATTATATACCGTAGAGCATTTATATTATATATAAAATTTATAAACTATTTATTTGGATATATTTTATATTAATGTATGTTGTCAAATATTTATGAAAAAAATTATATACCGTAGAGCATTTATATTATATATAAAATTTATAAACTATTTATTTGGATATATTTTATATTAATGTATGTTGTCAAATATTTATGAAAAAAATTATAAAAAATATTAATAATTTTGGTTCATTGTCTATTTTCTATTATGATTCTTGTTTATACCGTAGAACATCCTTAAACAGGAAACAATATTGGGATCATATTTTAAAAATAAAAATTAATTTTGACAAATATTTATGATCCTGGTCGTTGTTGTTATGCATATTTAATGCATCTAGTATATCTTGGATATTTCAAGTTAAAGAGATTATTAAAATATTTTATTAAAAAATCAAGAATGTCATGAAATTTGTATATATGATAAAATAAAATGATAAAAATATCATGATTATAATTTTCCAAAATTAAAAAAAAATATATATAGAAAACATTTTGTAAATAATACAATGTACTAAAATAATTAAAAAAAAATGTAATTGGTTGATGATAGTTGATGAATAATATCAAGAATATATAGTCATCATAAATTTAGTTATGTGAAGTCAAAAGTTTGTGAAAGATTGATTATTAAAAGTTTAAAAAATCTTATAATTTTTTAACAAAAAATCGAAGAGGATATGATGTTTTTGGTTAGAATATTGAAGACATTAAAGAGACCGTTAAAGACGTGGTACAAGCTCATATTGAATTAATCTTCAATAGTGAGATATCAATTTACACTTCATTAGTATCAAGTTTTGATTTCAATGATGAAACTACATTATTAAATAGATTGAAGTATTTAATATTAGATACATCTAAAGTTTTAAAAGCATTAAGACCATAAGAATGGAAGTGGTGAGATATGATTTTCCTCTTAATAGATCTATATCATATATTTGTTAGAATGCATAATTATGTATGAGTGCAATTCTTATATAATCTACCTTTGTGAGAGTGACATAGTGTCATTTCATAGAGTTCAAGGGTTTGACTCTTAAATTATCAGGAGAAAAATATGAGACACAAGTCCTTATTAATTGTGTTATATTGATAATTTGATCACTCATAACAAGATTTTATGTGTGAGTTACACATATTTGTTTTAATTAATAATTAGTTAAAAATTTGTCTATTAATCTATTTGAGGATGAATGAAAATTTAACTTATTAAGTATTGATTCAAATCATAAAATATCTTTCTATGAAATATTAAAACTTCTCAAATAATAGATTTAGATTTTATTTCGAAAATGATAGATAATTTTTGGAGAATTTCTGGGATATACATTTGAAAACTTATGTTTTTTAATTGGTTAAATATAGCCCATCTACATACTTGACATTGAGGAAGTAAATTGGTTAGTGGTTGATTTGTTTGTTCAAAGGTGTGTGTACTTGGGTCCAAAGGTGTATTTACTTTTTCAAAATAATGATAAAGTACATTTAAGGGACGTGAACTCACAACTTTTGAGCAAGAGATGTGTCTGGTCATAAGTGATTGTCATTGAATCATTGTAATGTATTTGATACCAGTTGAACACTGAAAATACATATTTCTTCATAAATTAGTATTTTAAAGAGTTGCTCATCTTCATCAATTTTTATGAGTTTCTCGAATTTTTTCTCAAAATGCCACACCCCTGAAATCAAATGCCTAATATGCCACGCCCTGAAAACAAATTCTCAAAATACCACACCCAGGAGGGGTTCACGCCATTTGAGATGGCGCAAAGGTGAGCTGGAAGGGCTCACGCCATTTCAAATGGCGTGAAGGTGTTTTATATTTTTTTTTTGTTTTTCTGAATTAAAATTATTTATTTTAATAACTTTTATTATTTAATATTTATATTAATTAAGAAAATACTTTTTATTAAATAAACTTTATTATATAATATTTATATTAATTACAAATACTTTTTATTAAATAAATTTTATTATTTTTATGTTTATACCTTTAACAATTAAATATGAAAATAAATAAAATATTTAACAATTACAAAATGAAAATAATTTTTTTTTATTAAATAAATAAAATATGCCAATTACAATCAAAATGCAAAATAAAATAAAACCGTTAAACATTCACAATTATACTATTTAATGCTGATGATCCGGTCCTAAACGAGTACCGGTAAAACAATGACGCGGTCGCGGAGCACGATGACCAAAACCATATTGTTCTTCGATCTCTGTTGTCGGAGGATTTTGTTGTGTTGCATCTGATGTTGGAGGATTATCTTGAGTAGGAGCGGTAGCTTGTGGAGGAGACCAAATACTTTGCAGTAAATCATAATCACTGACGTTAAGATCCTCGCCCAAATTATATTGCGGCTGTTGTGGGGGACACATGGTTGGAAAATATGGCGGGTTATGTTGGGAGGAGGAGGAATCGAAGTTTGGTCGCATGATGGGTGTGAATTGTGTGGTTGGCCTATTATAAAATTGTGGTTGTTGGGATTCATAAATGTAATTTGGTTGGGAGTGAGATTGAGGGTATTGGGTGTTAAAGGTTTGATTTTGATAAAAATAAGGGGCAGGAGTTTGTAGTTGAGATAAATGTGGGTTAAAAGTTTGTTGTTCAGGATAATGGGGGATGGGTGTTTGATGTTGGGAAAAGTGAGGAGTTTGTTGTTGGAAGGATTGGGGTTGGGGAGGCTGAGAATGTTGTGAGTGGTGAGTTTGTTGAGAGCCACTTGCCTGAGTAGAGGCATATTGATTTTGGCGAGGGTCAGTGAGAAATTGTTCGTACGATGCATATCTATGAGGAAGTGAGTGATACCATTGCATGTACTCTTTTGACGGTTTCTCCTCTGTTTGTAGTTGATCTCCATCCAACGTAAACAATTCTCGATGCAACCAACAATTTTGTTCGTCAGAGTATAATGTGATATATGCATGTCGACGCGCTTTTAATGTTGTCATTTTATGGTGTTCAGCCAAGCATCGAGCTTCTTCAGGTATCCCTTGTAAATGGCCAAATTGTAGTTTGACCCTATCAGCTTGATGCATTTCTACAATATGAAAGCATATCATATACGTAGTTGAACTCCATATCAAGCTGTCCTCGTGCCTTTGGGGCGCTAATCCAAGATACGGCCTCCAAATAAACTGAGAAGTTGTAGATAAAATATTTTAGTTTAACCAAAATAAAATTCAAAAATTTATAAGAAATATTAAGGTGAAGACAAAAAAACCTGATCTTCAAGCATGTGATCAATCCTGAATCGGTATCCTTGAAGATGGTGGCGCGGGTTGTTTTGATAGTCAAGTTTCTTGATCAACCATCTAAAAAGAATTCAAAATAAAATTTTATTTTAGAGTATCCTAACAATATTAATTATAATTTTAAATTTAAAATAAAATATTACCTTCTTGCGTATGGATATGGAGATTGAAGCGGAGCCACCGGAGATATTATAGGCATACGTGTGAAAGCCCAAGCTTGAAGAAGTAAAACGCATTCTGACAGCTCTGTTACTTTTACGTCTACCGCCTTGCACATTTCCCTATATAGATTCGCTAAAACGGCGGAACCCCAACTAAATTTTCCACAATCTTCTAAATCAACAACAAATTGTGTCCATTTTGAGTGTATAGTGTTTCCGCTTTTGTTGGGAAACAAAACTTGCCCGATAAGGAGTAAAATATAAATATGAGCATGTTTAATTTTATACTCCTCGGGTGACTCCTCGGTTGGTGGTTCATGTTGGTACATGTCTTTAAGCCATGTCAACCTCGCCGTCATTCCTTTATCACTTTTTGGCGGTTCATCCCCTAAAATAGAACTCCATGCACCATCACCCAGCTCAGATTGACCATTTACCGCTTTTCCATCAATAGGAAGACCCAGTAACATACTCACATCTTCCAACGTAATTGTGCATTCACCATTTGGAAGATGAAATGTATGAGTTTCGGGTCTCCACCGTTCCAGTAAGGCTATAACTAACCTTGAATCGATATGTGTTGACCCTATTGTAGAAACATGGTAGAACCCAGATTGATGAAGGTACGGGATTATGGCTCCATGTGGCTTCAGAGGTTTGTGAGCACGGATTCTCCATTTTGAAATATAATTATCATCAATCTGTAATAGAAATAAATAATATAGAAAAATATTCATTATTTCTATGCAAATTATGAATAAAACTAGTATTGTAAACTCAAAAATAAATAATACGAATAAAGTTGGATAAATCAAAAAAACTTACAACATTGATATTTTCTACCGTTCCCCTATGTTGTGTACCATACCAAAACATATTGGCCATAACTGTGAAAATGAAGAACAAGACTTGTGAAAAGAGAGAGAAGAGAAAACTTATCAAAAGAGAGTAGAGAGTGTGAATAGAATGAAGTGTGTTTGTGGAGAAATGAGGTGAGAGTGATTGGGTATTTATAGGAAAAAAGAGGTGAGTGTGGTTGGTTGGTAGTTGAATAATTTAATTAATTATGGTTAGTAGGTAGTAAAGTTATTTAATTAGAGTTGGTAGGTAGTAGAATAATTTAATGAAAGTTGGATAAATATAAATTTGTAATTTATTGCGAATATTGTAAATTACACGGTTTTGTACACAATGATAAAACCTCATCCGCTGATCTACTGAATCTGACATACAACTCAAAAGGTGTTTTATTAACACCAGTTCGAAAATCCTCAAACATATTAAATACATCTGTATTTGTAACTAACTGTGTAATATGCTGCATCAAGACACCATTTTCGTTGATGGTAGTTCGGTTGAAAGAGATCTCTGTGATGCTCCTATTAATATTTGTGACTTGACGTAATTGATTTTTCAAATGAATTAGTTTAGATCTTTCCATAAGCCGCACAACCAAAGGATTAGAAAATGCATTTCTATACTCAAACATAACAACCTGTGAATTATACGGAATAATGTATACGGAGCAGAGTATCAGACTCATTTTAATCTAATAACATTATCGTTTATTGTAGCTCATATATATATGCATGCAACATATGACTTCACGCCAGACACATAGCCTTCACGCCATTTGAAATGGAGCAACCCTAGGTTTCACGCCATTTGACTTGGCGCAACTAGGGGCTTCACGCCATTTCATTTGGAGCAAACATACGCTTCACGCCATTTCAAATGGCGCCTTTATGGGCTTCACGCCATTTGAAATGGCGCCTTTATGGCCTTCACGCCATTTGAAATGGCGTTAGTGTGCATGCATGAAAATCCAACGCTTTTGCTGTTTGTTATTTAATACATGCATTTTACAATTCAACATAGTGTATTCAACAAACCAAACTATCACATATTTTCCACTTCAACACAATGCCACAAAATCATATTTCTTGTCTGTTACATTTCAACGGTAATATTTATACCGATGAAATTATTGGAGTGGTATTTCAAAATACAGATACAAATATTTTAAAAATTCATCGAAATAGTGATTTAGCTCAGTTGACGGAAAAAATAGAAGAAACTTTACGACAACATGTAGCTTCTATTTTTTATCGATATCCAGTAGTTAATCCAGTTGATCACAATGTCACATACAACACTGCAAAAATAGAAGACGATGAAGATGTCCGTTCAATGCTTCAATGTCACTCAAGGTTTTGCAGTCAACAAGAAATGGAGTTGTATATTTGTTTTCAACAAATGCATGAAGTATTTCCAACACAATCATCACAAACTCATGCATATCAACAAAGTCAGGTCTCCCAACAAGAAGAGTCTGTCGAAGTACAACATAACGAGCCAATATTTCCGGAAGAGGAAGTGGGTGATGATACTGACTCCGACGATGCTAGACAAATTAATTTGTTTAGTGGATCCAGTGATGAGTCAGGTGACGATGATAGGCTGGAGGAAGAACCGGCTCCTATACTTGATCTGTATAACCCACCCTATCACTTGAGAAACGTTTCATTTGAATGTGTGGAACCAATTTCAGTCTTCGAATCCGTACACGAACGTGAGTCATGTGATGACTTAAAGGTTGGTATGACTTTTGAAAACAAAGAAGCATGTCTCCTTGCAATATCTGAGTATCACATAAAAAATTCTCATACATTTAAGGTTTGTAAGTCTGATCCTACACGATATTTAATTAAATGTAAAAAGGAGGAATGCAACTTCACATGTAGGGCTTCGTTAAGGGAGGGGTGTGGTAAATGGGTTATTGGCAGAATTGGAGGCCACACACTTGCATGTCGACTGCTATATGTCAAGATCACAAAAAGCTTACCTCAAAGATGATCGCCCATAACATCAGACCTCTTGTTGACAGCGACGCGGCAATCAAGGTTAGACATATTATTGCTCATATTCGTACGACTTATGGCTACACCGTGTCTTACAAAAAGGCATGGATTGCAAAGAACAAAGCAATCAAAGATATTTATGGTAATTGGGAGGCCTCTTACAACAATCTTCCGCAGTGGTTGCTAGTCATGCAACAATTTCTCCCAGGTACCATCATAGATCTTGAAACACTTCCTGTATATTCAAATGAAGGAACACAAATTGGTGGTGCAAGAATTTTCCATCGCCTTTTTTGGGCATTTCAACCTTGTATTAGGGGTTTCACACATTGTAAACCTATAGTGCAGGTAGATGGTACATGGCTGTATGGAAAATATAGGGGAACATTGCTCCTGGCTGTTGCACAAGATGGGAATGGTAACATTTTCCCAATCGCATATGCATTGGTCGAAGGTGAGACCGGAGGAGCTTGGAGTTTCTTTCTGAAAAATTTGAGACTCCACGTCACACCCCAATCAAACTTATGTTTGATATCTGACCGACACGAGTCCATTAGGAGTGCCTACAATAACCCGGATAATGGCTGGCAGAACCCACCCTCGGTGCATGTGTATTGCATTAGGCACATCGCACAAAACTTCATGCGAGCCATCAAGGACAAAAACCTTCGCAAGACAGTTGTTAACATGGGTAATTACTCTCTAATTTTTAACACGGCATTTCAATATATAGTTCTTTTATATTAATGTTTTAATGCTTTTATGAAGGGTATGCAATTAATGAGTCTACATACGCATATTATCGGGAGGAGATCCGCCAAACAAACACAGAGGCTTTTAATTGGATAGAGAACCTTCCGAGAGAAAAATGGTCGCGAGCTTACGACGGAGGAGCACGATGGGGTCACATGACAACCAACCTAGCTGAATCTTTGAACTCAGTTTTGAAGGAAACCCGAAACCTACCTATTACATCACTTGTAAGATCAACATACTACAGGATGGGAACATTGTGGGGTAAGCGAGGAAAGGATTGGACCAAAAATTTGTCATCAGGAAAGGAGTTCACAGATAACTGCATGAAAGGAATTGCAGAAGAAGTAGAAAAATCCCACAATTATAATGTCTTGGCTTTTGACCGTGAAAGTTATTATTTCGTGGTTCAAGAGACGGTTAATAATAGGAATTGTCGACCACTTACCCATTTCAACGTCAACCTCCAAACAAGAACTTGTGACTGTGGGAGATTTCAAACTTTTCATCTGCCTTGCTCACATGCTATCGCAGCGTGTTCTCACATTAACCACGATTATACTACGTTTATTCCTGACTTGTATAGAGTTATAAACGTCTTCAAAGTTTACATACAAAGTTTCCTCGGTGTTCCCCAAGAAGATAATTGGCCTCCATATTTGGGCGATACTCTTATGCATGATGAAAGGATGCGACGAAACAAAAAAGGTCGCCCAAACAGTACTCGCATTAGAACTGAAATGGACACTGTTGAAAAAATAAAAAGACGATGCGGTATCTGTCAACAACCTCATATGCGGAAAAAATGTCCGCATCGCCTCAACAATGCAGGCCCTTCTAACCAGTTTTATTTTATTTTGCATTTTGATTGTAATTGGCATGTTTTATTTATTTAATAAAAAAAATTTATTTTCATTTTGTAATTGTTAAATATTTTATTTATTTTCATATTTAATTGTTAAAGGTATAAACATAAAAATAATAAAATTTATTTTATAAAAAGTATTTGTAATTAATATAAACATTAAATAATAAAATTTATTTAATAAAAAGTATTTGTAATTAATATAAACATTATATAATAAAGTTTATTTAATAAAAAGTATTTTCTTAATTAATATAAATATTAAATAATAAAAGTTATTAAAATAAATAATTTTAATTCAGAAAAACGAAGAAAAAAAAATATAAAACACCTTCACGCCATTTGAAATGGCGTGAGCCCTTCCAGCTCACCTTTGCGCCATCTCAAATGGCGTGAACCCCTCCTGGGTGTGGCATTTTGAGAATTTGTTTTCAGGGCGTGGTATATTGGGCATTTGGTTTCAGGGGTGTGGCATTTTGAGAAAAAATTCGAGTTTCTCTATAAATAGAAATAATTTTGAGACATAAAAACACGAAAATTCACATGTTTTGTTACAGATTTTGGGAGTTTCAAGAGACTTCTATGTCACATATCCATCAAAATTCGCAAGACAATAGGAGTATGAGTCTATTACCTTATAAATTCAAAATTAGAAACATTTATTGTCGATGTGAGACTCAACCACTCACGCTTGACTTAAAAAATCACTCCACAAGTGTTAGTCACACACATCATTAGTCTTGATCCATACTAAAATCTCACTTTCTCTCTCCCATCGAGCCTAACCATGGCTCATATACACTTGCTGGGGAATTCAGATTGCGTAAAAAGTGTTAATAGACTAAATATCTAAAATTCAAGAGACCTCGACGCCACATATCCATCATAAACCCTAAGGCAATGGATTATGGGTCTATTCTCTTATAAATAAAACATTTAGACAATTTCTAGTATATGTGGTACTTAATCACTCACACTTTAATTTAACATGTTTCATTAGCCAACAGTTATATCTAAGTTATTTCTTTATTTTTCTAGTGCACGAGAATAAATAAAAGAGTTCAATTCTGTAAAATATTGTTGAATGATATGCTTGACATGAATGTGCGATTCATGTCAAAATTTTCATAGTGTCTTGAAAGAGATTCACCAATATACTCTTTTGCAATTTATTTGTCTAAATTGAAGCGAATTAATCGAACCTAAAACTTAGAGTGAGCACACACTTTAAAATTTATTTTGACAACATTCATTATATCTTTTTCATCATCATCTCATTTATGTTTTGCATCATACATCCAAGACAAAATCTAACACTTTTTATTCTTCATCATTTGGGGTGTTTTTCTTTAGTTGGTTGGGTATTCGGCAAACTTTTATTTTTCATGTAATTTTGTGTTTTTTCT